ATGTGACAATGAGTGTGTATATGTCCATGAATGACTGAAAAATTGTGCTGAACATTGGAATTTGACACAACATTGTAAAATGATTATAAATCAATAAAAAATGTTAAAAAAAAAGAAAGAAAATTGGAATTTGGATAAAATCCAAAATAAGTCTACCTCTAAAATGCTTATGCTAAATTTTAGAATTCATTTCATACATCCTTATCAAAAAGTTATATTTTCAAACCTTGGGAAACAAATTCTACTTCTTGGCAACGAAATCTAAGCTGATAACTATAATAAGTCAGAAAATTTATCTGAAACTTGGAAACAGGCAAAAAAGAAATTATTGGGTGATCTTTTAGTGAAGTTCTGGGCTTATACCTTTGATTAGTTTTCTATTGACTGGTCTACTCTTTATCTGCATAGGGCAGTGATTAACTTGTAGATTTTTATCCAATATAGATACAAGTATTTTATGTCTGGTGGAAAAGATAACTCCAAAGGTTATGATTAATGCACTTTAGGACTTAAATTAGTTTTGCGTGTAACTGAGAAATCTTAACACTTCTTTATGAAATTGCCTACCGATACATGGCTCCTAAATTTTCATTTGAACTGGTCTTAACATCTTATTGATTCCTTCATTAATTAATGAGATATCTTTGACATCTCTTCATTTTCTATTTATGAGTCTTTTTTTTTAACCTTTTGAAAATTATACTTTCTCAAACTCCATGAGTATGCTACATAGAAAATCCTTCTTTCTCTCCATCCTTAACCCAATTCAGGAAAGGCCAATAAAGTACATTTATTTTAATTAATTAATTTCTTTCAGGTCTCCTAAGTCACTAAGTGTGCATAAGCCAAGACTAGAAAACTTTACGTGTAGTTTCGTCTTGTTATCCCCCCCAAATCAGATGGGATAAAAATCCATAATCTTGAGGGGAGTATAAAGTCTAAGTAAAAGAGTGTTTACAATCAAGGGGTAATCAGCTGTCAGAAAAAAAAATTACCTGGACACAACTGTGATCACTTTAGAATAAGAATGCTTCTTCAAGGTCTGCCCTCAGTGAGTCCCAAGTAACCTCATTAAGGATACAATTCATATTTCAATAATCTAGGCAGAGCTGCATAAAATAACCTTATGAGCCAGGGAGTTAATAGCAGTTAGATGAAAAACAATAGGGAACAAAGTGCTGGGTATTGTGACAAATTGGTGAGTACATGCTTTCTATAAAAGTATCGAACATTTTTTTAAAAAGCAAAATTAAATATTGTGTAGGCCGAACAAAATTCACTTGTGCTGCAATCTTTATACCCCAACCTAAGGGCTGTTTCTTCTGTCACCAGAATCTGTGTGCTCCTAACCAACACTAACAGTTCTAACAGCACCACTCTCTAGGCACCCAGTCGTACTCTCAGTTACCTGCACCCCCAAAGTAGGCTCAGGGTTCATACTGTTGCTGAGAAGGGAGAACCAAGGATGGGATATCCTGAAGTTCTGGATTTTCTCCAACCCCTGCAGGGCCATCAGCCGCTTTGAAAGGGTAGCCTGGCCAAATGCACACAAGCAGCACAGCTTGGAATTTGAAATGCTTATAAGACACTTAACAGCCAGCCAGGGAACTGAGTAATGACTCCTTAGCTGGAACCAGGCACTCACCCAATCTTGTGACGCTCTCTGCACACACATCACATTACACAGCAGCCAACTGGAAAGTACATTTAAGCTGTTAAACTCAGAGGAGTGGAAGAATGGGAGGGAAGGGGGGAAGAAATGGGATGTGGGAGGAAAAAGGGAAGAAATAGAGCAAAAAAAGGATTAGGAGTCAGAAAACTGAGTTTCATTTCAAAGTCTGCTACTAATTAAGGACAATATGACTTGGAGCAAGTTATTAACCACTTCACAACTCAAATTTATTCTAAAATGAGGATATATATGTGTGTGTGTGTGTGTGTGTGTGTGTATAATTTTTTATAAAAAAACAAAATACACTAATTAGATCCAAGATGGAGAAAAACCTGATAAGGAATAAATTTGCCAGAGAGAGCTTTAGGGGTAATTACATATTACAAACTAAGCACAACATTAGTTTCCATTAGGGGGCTGAGAAGAATAGCTACAAGAGGATTAAATTAAACAATATATGGCAGGGTAGGCACAGAGCTCAGTGGTAGAGTATGGACTTCACATGCACGAGGTACTGGGTTCAATCCCCAGTACCCCCCTTAAAAATAAATAAATAAGTAGTGTATGAAAATGTCTGCCACAGTACTTGACACAAAGTAGTCAATCAATAAATGGTGGTGTTTTCAAACTTTAATATGCCCTCCAGATTGGTTTTAAAAAATCAAGTCTAGTAATACTGTGTTTGAGAGAAAGTGGAACCACTGGAACACTTACATACTGGTGGTGTTAAAAATTGGACAACCACTTTGGAAAACAATCTGGCCTTATAAAGTTGCTGGAGCATTTACCCTATAATCTAGCTAGTCCATCTTATATATACCCTAGAGAAACTCTCATACTATACCATACACAAGGATGAGTACAGGAGCACTGCTCATAACAGCAAAACTGGAAACCAATCAAATGACTATTAATGGTAGAAGGAAGAAGTAACTTGTGGTGTGTTCATACAATGGAAAGTGACACAGGTGTGAAAATGAGTGAGCTAAGTTATACACGTTAACACTGTTAAATCTCAGGAATTTAACATTAAGGGAAAAAAAAACAAATTGCAAAAGAATACATAATCATTCCACTTACATAAGGTCAATGATCATGTAAAACTGTATCATCAGGGATAAATACTTTCAAGGTAAATACAGAGAAACAAGGGAATAAAAAGTACAAAATTCAGGATCGAGGTTAGGGAGAGGGAGGGGGAGGGGGAGGGGAAGGAAAAGGCATATTCAGAGCTTCAGGCTACACTTGTGCTCATGCTGTTACTCTTTACAATTTACACATTTGTTACAATTTTTATTCAATATATGATAATAATAAAAAACTGAAAAATCAAAATGAACAGACTAGTAGGAAATACTCTTCCTACCTGACTCAGGAGAGTAATTTTTTAAGTAACACTTATTAAAAGAGTAAGCCCAATTCAGGTTACTACATTAAAATTTTTTTTAATTTATTTTGAGATAATTTTAAAATTACAGAAGAGTTGCAAAAATAGTACAGAGAATTTTCATATATACCCCACCCACCTTCTTATGTTAATATCTTACATAACCATAGAACAATTAACAAACTAAGAAATTAACCTTTGTATAACCCTATTAACTAAAGTACAGAAAATATTTATTTCTTTTACGAATTCTTTCCACTAATATCTTTGTTGTTGTTGTTCTAGGACCTAATCCAGGATCCCATGTTGCATTCAGTTATTTGTCTCCTTTAGTCTGTGACTGTTTCACATTCGTTCCTTGTTTTTCATAATCTTGACAGTTTTGAAGGGTACTGGCCAGTTCTTTTGTAGAATGTGCCACAACATGGGTTTGTCTGATGTGCCCTTGTCACTGAATCATGTCAGGGGATACCCGCTGTTGTATGTATTCCTGGTGATGTGAGCCTAGAATGCTTGTCTAAGATGGTGTCTGCCAGAACTCTTCCCCATAAACTTATAATTTTTCCCTTTGAAATTACTAAAAATTTGAGGGGAGGACCATCACATTTTAAAAAGAAGGTTGAAAAACAGTCGAGTCATAAAGGAGTCATTAAAGAGAAGTCAAAAAATAACACCAGCCTCTAAAAGGCATGGTTATATGAACTAAAGCTCCTCATTTAGACATGAGAATCTAAAGGTAGCAGAAGAGGTCCCACCTTGAGGTGATAACCTCCAAGCGGCTTAGACCTTAAACTGAATTGCACAACATGGAAATGAGGATGACCTTACAGAAACTTGGGGTTGAGGGTAGAATACTGATCCACTGATCAGTATTAGCCTACAGAGTTCGAATTGGCACTACATTGCAAACCAGTCAAGCCACAGCTGTGATTCTGTGCTGCCAGCATTCTGCACCCTCCACAGCACACCTGCTACATACAAAAACCTGGTGAGTTTACTAGGTATGAAGTTTTAGAGAAAGACTTTAAGTTTATTTTGAGCTTGTTTTGAAAACAACATAAAGTAAAACACAATGCAGTCTGGCGACGGCATATTTGTGATGCCAGCATAGCCAATGACTCTCAGTACTAGACTATCCTAGGCCGCATGCACACAAGTCATTATTGGCTCTCAGTGAATAAATCTGTCTTCCAGAGACTGGAGCTCTTTACCAAAGAAGGAGTAAACCCCTGCTCAACTTGAATGTTTTTGAGAACCTGAGGAAAGGACTCTCACATAGAAGTAGATGTGCCCATAAACCTCTGACTAAAATAAGAGCTACATTTCCCCAAAACTTGTGTAAAATCATGGAAGCTTCCAGTCTATTCCATTAAGGGTTTCTGAGTTAGCTATTCTATCCAATGCACAAATCCCCAGAATTATTCCAGAAATCAACATTCTCCCATTCCAATTCTCACCACATGAATCTCAAAAAGGTAATAAAAGTTTTCCTTTTTAATGCAACAGAAGCACATATACTACAAAAAAAAAAAAAAAAGCAAGTCTTACCCAGAAATGCTTTTAAAAGGCATAGCCTGAAACCTGCCAGCACTCCATACTACGCCTCTCTTCTCAGTTCCAATCCCTGCATTATCCCCTCCTTATTTCAATCACAAATTCTTTCTGACAGGAAAACACTCTAGGAAAACAAAGATTTCCTAAATTTAGAAACTTTAAAACTCTGGGAGACGTAGAAGACATGAAACATTTGCTAGTCTATCATGCCATTGAGATGACTAGATCTCCTTCAGTTTCCTACGTCTAACTGATTCCGGGCTTCTGGGGACTTGCCCAAATCCTTTTTTGTGGATTTTTCTTCCTTCTGTTTCCTCTAGATAGCAAAAATGAAAAGAGTCTCAAAACCTGCATTTTCAACCTGCTTCTTCCAAAACTGGTTCATGGACCCCTCACAATCTTTCAATTAACTTGGATTTGGTTTCAGGTGGTTTAAAGCAAAAAGCTAAAGATGAATGCAAAACAAATTTCAAACACAAAATGGAGTATAAAAGAACCTGCAAAACTGCAGTTTCTTAGCTGGTTTTTATTTTCAAACTCATGATCTTCCTCAGGAGTTACCTGCTCAGTCTATAAGGCAGGCTTTGTAAAGCAACTGTGTGCTACAAAACTCCCTCTTTTCTGCCTAGAACTTTAAACTGGGTCTGAACAAATATTGGGGTCCATGAAATATCCTTCTGGTGCTTGTAACTTTGCAGTCTCATAGAGAAAACTCCTTATTAGGTAGCATAATACTAATGCTTTGGGATGGTTTATTTTCCTCTTTTTTTTAGTCTATAAAAATGAGTCAATGTTTACTAAGCTAGTCTTAACTGTTCTGCACATATAGGTAGTTAACAGATGTCTGTTGAATGGAATCTTGGAAACAAGATTCTTTTTTTAAATAAATATTATTTAAAATACGTTCTTTTTTTAAAATAAATATTATTTGTTTTAAAACTGGGGGCGAGAGAGAGAGGAGAAGGAGCACCGACTGGTGGGGAGTTCGAAAACCCCTGTTCTATTCTCAGCTGGATTCTCAAGTTATTTTTACCTAAAGCAAATGACTCTTTCCTTAAGTTTTCCAGCTTTTCTTATCTGCAATAAAGGGCAATACCTGCCACTTCCCTTTCCCACTCAAGAAAAAAAAACAATGTAAAGCAAGAGTTTTTCAAATAGTGTTATGCAGAGAAAGGAGGTTTCAGAACCCTATTCTGAATTGGATTAGGGGTAGAGGGAAGCAGAGGAGAAGGGTACTTCCTCTCCCTTAACTTGAGTAACTCCAATTTTATTAGGGCTTTTCCTATATTTTAAATTGGAAAAGTAGTTTCTCTTGCTAAAAACAAAGTTGGAAGATCAGCTGGTACTTCTGGGGTAAGTACTTATTTGAATAAGTTAAAATGTACATTTTTAGAGGGAACTTGGCTTCCAGCTAGGCCAGGTGCAGTTCAAAGTCTTTAAACAGTCTCTCTCAAGGTACCTAAGATTGGCATCTATGCGGCCTTGGCACAAATTCCCAGCAAAAGCTGGGACTACTGGGAACCACTTGAAGGTATTTCACTTTCACACCTCCATCTTTCCTATTCCCCAGGTCAGGCCCCACAGTTCATTAAGACACTTAGTCTTCTCCTCTCTTGTTTTCATGACAATTCATTCTCTTGTTTTTTCTGCTTTGCAGTTGATGTAGTAGAGTTAGACTGACCTAACTCTAAACCCGGAGTCAACACTATCAAACTTATGACCTTGGGCCAATGATATAATCACTCTGAACTTTAGTCTCCTTATCTCTCACATGAGATAATCACTTCACCTTGGTTGCAAAGATTACGTAAAATAAAGTATATCAAGCATTTTTTTACAGTGCCTTGCGTATAATAGGTGCTATTCCCCCAAAGCACTGTTCTTATCCCTGTTTCCTGTGCTTACTTTCCCTGAGTTATGATACCATATCCTCTCATTGCATCTCTAGCCTTGGCTCCTAAAACTATCTCTAGTCCCAAATTCATATGATTAGACATTTCCGAACTAGATAACTATGTCTCAAAATGGCATTTCTTACCTTCCATGATTTTAAGCATACCTGCTCCTGCACCTTAGTGTTCTGTAACTTGTCCATAAAATCTAAGAGTTACCTTCTGTTCCTCTTCTTCCTGTAGACTCTATATATTCCATCTGAGGGTCTCTTGAAGCTGTTACCTCCTTTCTAATCTCACTAATATCATCTCAGATTATACTTTCCTCCCCAATTTAATATACCCTGTTATTTGCTTCCAACTTTTATAAACTATCCACTGTTGCCCTGCAGCAGAACACTGATAATGTCTTCTTACTGATCAGCTCAAAAACCTTCAATGCTTCCCATGGGTTACTGAATGAAGTTCAGATATATTATCAGCCACACATTCAAGATGCTCTAATTTGAATTCAAACTGTTCTTTTATTTTTCTCTTCCACTATTTACTTTTACTCAAACTGGCCTATGTACTTTTCCCTCTATATGGCCCATGCTGTTCTGCACCTGTGCCACTGCTCACACTGTTCCTTCCAAGGGTAATGCTCTGCTCTTTACCAGCCAAAGTCCTTCAAAGGTTATTTTACAAAGGCCAACTCAAATCCCATGAACTTTCCAATGAAGTTTCTCTGGTCTCTTAATCCAGAAATAATCTTTCACTCCCTCCAAACTCCTATACTACTTGGTTGATGCTATTCTCCTAAAACTATTTTTTATTCTCATTTTTCTTGTGTTATAATTATTTTTTTGAATTTTATCTCCCCTGTCAGGTTGGTAAGTTTGAAAATGTCTAATTAATTTATGTGTCTTCTAAAGCCCTAGCACAGGGCCTGGCTTCCAAGTAGATGACTGGCAAATAAATTTTTAAAATTTTGAACTTGAAAAAAGAATGAAGACCAACAGTAGGTAAGTTCATTGAGAATATCAGACTATGGAAAATCTTTCTGAAAAATACATGTTACAAGATGTCACCTGCTGGGGGAGGGTATAGCTCAAGTGGTAGAGTACGTGCTTAGCATACACAAAGTTCTGGGTTCAATCCCCAGTACCTCCTATGGAAATAAATAAACCTAATCACCTTCCTTCCCCACCAAAAAAAAACCCCAAAAAAACTAAAAAAAAAGAAAACTAAAAAAAGATGTCACCTACTGACAACTTCATCAAGACAAATGCTATAAAGAACACAAACACTATCTGGTGATGTTTAAAATCAGTTCTGGGATCTGTACCTTCCTCAATTAAAACCAATCCAAAGACACATTCCCTTTAGCTTCCCTACTTCATTAGATACAAACATGGCAGTCATAAAGCGGGGAGTGTCCGTGAATAACATAATCCAAAACCCTAAACTGTGAGGGATTTCTCTGCTGGTGGTCTATATTCCACTACTCTACTTCACAGTAGAAGGCAGAACGTTTTTAATGCTACCAGGTCAACAAGCTGTGGGAGTTTAAGTCACTCCAGTATGAGGTTCCCTGTTCCCAGGGAACTCTGGCTTTGAAACTAAACTGGGAACATCCCTGGGTCACAGTGCCATCTAGAGTTGTCAAGAGGTTTTCTCACATCATACGGGGTTTCACTGGGTCTAAGGAGAGTCACAAAGGGATCAAGTTGAACTAAATTAAACTAAGCCCAAGTGAGAAGAATCACATTGCCTTCCCCTCCCACCAGGAATGTCCGGGCTGGGAGCCATCCTGGATCTTGCATGGCCTCTCAGGGTCACTATGATTACAGAATTTCGTAACTGGAAAAGCACTGGGAGACACCTGGTCCATTCTCCCACCCACAGCCGTCATTTCCTGTGTTTAGCAACCAGGAATACTTCCAGTGAAGATGAAATCATTCTTTTCTCAGGACAGCCTCTACATTTTCAGACAACTCAATTTATAAACTCTCTTATTCATTAAATTTCTCCTGACTCCTATAAGGCCTGGAGGTAAGCAAGCACCAACAACAGGACCTGTCTAAGTTCTATCTTTATCTTTCCCCAGCTGGTGAGCACTGAGATGAGTAAGAACAAGCACCCAGCTCTTGAGTGTGCTACTTTATGTATTACTCTACTTCCATCATCACTTTCCATCATGTGGTAATACGGTCAACTGTACTAGGTGCTGGGCCCGGGGGTCCTGAGCCCTAAAATACGGCTGATTCACCTACTATATGAGCAGCAACCACTAAAGTGAATTATGAGCACCTCACTTGTTTCTCAGCACAGATCTAGGAAGTCTTAGCTTTGCTGCTTGTCCTAATACTCAACTATAATCTTATCCAACCTCAAAGCCTTTTAGGGATTTCAGTTCTCTATTTTATCTCTCAGAGATTTCCAATAACCTTACTGACATTCACTCTACATACTTCAAGCCCAACAAATCCAAATCACATGCTAGCTTAATTGGTTGGGCCTCCCAGACAAATGCTGTCTGAAGCAAGAGTTCTGCTCATTGCAGTTCTGACAACAGACTGAGCAGGTGGGCAAAATTATTTATTCTTACAGACTTCCTCAGTGAGTCCAATCTAACAGAAGATCCTGACACTCCCTGAATTTCAGTAACTACTGATGGACTTCCTCTGACTTATGCTTAGTGGTCAGCTATGTGGCTGACCTCAAGAAGTTTGTGGTGCTTGATAGGGAAGCTATAGGACCCAAAATGGTGTATATATAGTAGAATCTGGGAACAAGATTTTAAATTCACCCACACTCTTGAAAGAAAGTTAACAAGACTTCAACATTAATGAATGCTTAACCATCTATGGAAATATTCCCTGAAGTAATCTGCTTAGGAGATGACTTACAAATGTGCTGATAAGATTAAAGTACAGCCTAAATAAATCTCAGCATGGGGCTTAGGGTTCCTTGCCAGAAAGGGAGGCATGAAGTTAAAATAGGACTAATCTAAGAGAAGCTCTACTCATTAAAACTAACATGTTGGTCATGACAGAGTGAAGGAAAGTCAGTTTTTAGAGCAGAAAATACTGAAACATTTATCACTGTTTAAACCACTGCCTGGGGAAAAGTTTCTGATTATAATGCCTATCAGAGTTACTTGGAAAGAAATATCACTAGAAGACAACAGTTTATCAGACTATCAGAATACCATATCTTAATGCAAATACCACACAAAAACATCTAGTTC